CGATGTGTTGAATAAGACTTCAATGTTCGACTTGTTCGCGCTTAGCGCAAAGTATGCACCACCAATTTTACCATAACCATTAATTTAAACGTGCAATAAGACATCAACAGGTTGTAATTGCTAACAACCAGCATAACAGAAAGTTTTACATCATCTTATTTGAAGTTGATTTCTTTAAATAACAAGTGTGAGGCACTTCCAGAAATTAAAGGTAGAATGAGATTTAATAAATGGAATCAGGCTTCTGCGAGCCATAACAAGTCTTTAACAAAAAATTCCTAAAATTAATTGAATAATTGTAGGATTCCTAGTGACAAAGAGATTCTAATGTTGCATGATCCTTGACCTATTTACACTACTGCTAAAACAACCTTGGACTTGTAGAAGACACAAGCAAAATGTCAATCTGGAAGATCATTCAAAACGCGAAACGTAAAAATAAATCAGCCCTATCTCTATCCCCTAACAACTGAAACTTGAAACCAATTTCAACAATAAATTTCTACAGATTATATCCGGCACCCTTCACTTCGTGTTAAGTCGGGCATAATACCATCTTTCTTCAATTTGTGCATTAACGGAGTCCAATAATCTTCCGGCAGATTACGTAATTCAACAACTCGTTTAGAATAAGATGGATTGTGATCCCTAAAAGCCAATGCGCTGTTTTAAATTAAAACAGGTAATGCAAAATACTACTTGCCTTCGCCATATTCGTTCTTTTTTTGTACACTGCCACACCGCCTCATCCCAAAACGAGCACTGGCCAAAGTACTTACCTGATTATTAGGGCTGAAATAGATTGCAGATCACTTATAATCAAAGAACTAAACTACCTATAGTTTTTTCCTTGTTACATCGCTTTAGAAGCTCTATGAGAAAATTACATTCTTTGGTGTGTAAATGCGGAGAAAGATCCGGTAACATCCCTTTATAAACTAGAAAAATAAACTTTTTCAAGGTATAACATGGAAAATAAATGAGAACAAATAGTGGATAAGCCTCTTCCCGAAGAAAATATAGTTTGTAAGAAAAAATAATTTTATCTCATCTATACGTACTCTAAACTCGCACAGAGTGTAGTGCAGATGATGAGTTGCACAGGAAAAGTGTAATTATAACCTAAATTTCGAGACACGCATGAGCTATGCTGTACAAACATATGACTATCAAATATTCTTCTGAGCTCGCATGATGAAGTCAATACCAGACGATGAACCGTTGATGGACTGGATAGCATGACAAATAATATGACATTAGAAAGAGATAGCAAAGCACGCAAACGAGGGTGTACATAAGTGAAAA